TATCCCTGACAGCAGGATCAGCGGAAGAAAGGTGTTTATGACTTGAGAACAGCAGAAGAAAGGGATTTATGACTGGATGAGGCAGAGCATTCCAGAAGACACATTCTGTTTGGACTTTGACAGACTAAATTTTAATTTATTTTTTTCTTACTACTTGGGTTATATAAGTGGGACTTGTGTTTATTGGAATAACGTACCAGTAGAATTTTATTCAGTTAGGGAATAGTTAGGAGTTAGGGGAGAATTGTTCGGTTTGTCAGTAATTCTGTTAATTTGTTCACTGTTAAGGTTAAATAAATAAATTGTTACTTGTTACTTATAAAGTGAATATCAAGGATTTTCTTCCATTTAACCTCCCCTTCTCCGTAAGAATAGCATTTACTATTGTCTTTTCCTGTCACAAATCATTTTCAAATTACACAATTGTAGCATTAAACTCCAAAAAAATTGTAAACTCCTCATATGGAATCTTATTAAAAATACTGAAGGATTATGATCTTTATAAACAACAGTTTCTGCAGAATTGTAGATTTCAAATTGTTGTAGGAACAATACCAACCTCAGTGTCTCTCTCTGTCACTCCGCGCTTGGATACTTGTGTTGCCATAAATTTGTTCTGTGTGAAAAATAACTAATAGGTCATTTAATCCCCATCTCATCCTCCTATAACACTGCACCAACATAAATACTGCTGACATTAACAGAGTTTAAATGGTTATAATGATTCATTGCTGCTAAAACTGGCGCAGTCATCAGTATAGCTTTCAATCTGTCAGAAACCTGGTATTCCAATGTCCACTCAAGTTGATTGTCTTTCTTTAATAAATTCTCAAAGGAGTCACTGCACTGCTAAAGTTCAGGACAAATATCTGATAAAATCCACTGATGCTGATGCTCTGCAAAATGTTGTGTTTTGTCTCAGGCCTGGGGAAACCCACGTTTGCTGTAGTTGTTATCACGCTTCAGCCAGGCTGAGGGAAAGAGCCTTTGCTCAGGGAGTCCCAAGGTGGTAAGTCAAGAGCAGCCTCCAATCCCAGTCCAGGGCCTGCTGGGCACACTCCGAGTCAGGCTCCTCTCCTCAAGGTTGTGGTGAAGAACAAATATTAGGAAAAACAACATCTGTCTGGATTTTTTTAGCCCCACTGACAGGTTGTTTTCTTGTAGTATGAGAGGCGGGCATTACAGGAGATGGAAGTGGGTGACAGAGCTGTTACAGTTGGTGCAGGTGGGGAGGTGTCCCATATGGGTGAGTTGGTAGTGTAGAGGGCATGCAGTGTTAGTGCTATCAGGGTTGGGGTGGGTGAGGGTGAGGGGGAAAGATGCTACAGACAATAGTGAAAGTGGTAGAATATAGGTTTTCATGGCAGGTTGCAGAGAAGATGGTGACGTTTACCATGACATAAAAGGTCATTGACTTTCCGTCGGGGTTGTGCATTCCTCCAGACAGCTAACCGGGGTGTCATTTCTAGACCAGGCTGGGATTCTGTGGCGGCCTGGTCTCCACTGGGTGCTCCTAAGGGAAGAGGACATGTGGCCTGTGCCCCAACCCCTGTAACAGAACTTCCTGGCCCTGATTTCCCCTGTCTGTTCAGGTCAAATTTTTAAAATTCATTATTCATTAACAGGGTGAGGGCGTCGCTGACCAGGCAGCATTTATTGCCCATCCCTAATTGCCCAGAGGGCAGTTCAGAGTCAACCACATTGCTGTGGGTCTGGAGTCACATGTAGGCCAGACCAGGTAAGGAAGGCAGTTTCCCTCCCCAAAGGACATTAGTGAGCCAGATGGGTATTTCCTGACAATTAACAATGGATTGGTCACCATTAGATTCTTAATTCCAGGTATTTTGTTGAGTTCAAATTCCACTATCTGCCATGGCAGGATTCAAACCCAGGTCCCCAGAATGTTATCTGGGTCCCTGGATTAACATCCAGCAATATTATCACTAGCCATTGCCTCCTCTCTATGTCAGGAACCTTTCAGGGCAACTGCAGGCTGACAGTATTTGTACAGATGCACAGCAGCACAACAGAGAGGTGATGGCCTAGTGATATTATCACCAGACTATTAACCCAGAGACCTAGGTAGTGCCCTTTAGGGAAGGAAACTGCCATCCTTACCTGATCGGGCCTACATGTGACCCACAGGAAAGTGCTTGAGTCTTAAATTACTGTCTGGCAATTCGGGGTAGGCAATAAATGCTGGCCTAGCCAGCGATGCCCTCATCCTATGAATAAAAAAAAGGTTCAGGTACAAGGGATATCCAATGGGTGGTATGTTGTTCTGGATTAGCACGTGGTAAGGGGGGGGGGGGTGGTGCAGGGAATCTAACGTGATACGTGAGGGTTCAGACAACAATTAATGTAGTGAGTTTGGTAGGATATGGTGAGAGAACTCACTGAGCCTCGTGGCAAGGATCAATCTAACAAATTCAACACGATTTGGTCTTAGCCAAAGATCATCTCCTATTTCTTTGGGTAACCAAAATTTGATTATAAAATTAAACTAACTTTTCCATCACAATTTTTGCTGCAATTTTCCCCAAAAGCACTGCCTCAGAAAATCCAAAATATCCTTTATTTCTAAGAGATACTGATTCCCAATTCAGGTAGGGCTCCTAAACAATTTATTAAGACCCTGCCAAACAGTTCTTCAAAAGCTGGTATTGGAATCAAAGGGTGCACGTTTAATTGATGGTTGGCATTTCTCCACTACCTGATATGTGAGATGCCTGTCAAAATTTCATTTCATCTTTATATAAGTAAGGCCAATAAAAATATTTCTGTGTTCTAGCCTGTGTTTTTCTAATATCTAAGTGACTCATTGGAATTTATGAGCCCCTTATGAAATTTCATTGCAATACTCAGATGGAACTACCACCTAATGGACTACAGCCCATTCCACATGGTCTGAAATTTGAGGTCTCCTTTTCCTCATTAGCACTTTACCTTTTTTTTAATTTAACCTATTTTTCTAATCAACCTATTCAGAGATGTTACTACACACCTCTGGACCAGATGGGACTTAAACCAAGGCCTCCTAGTCCAGGGGTAGGGACACTACCACTGTGCCACAAAAGGCCCTTTTGGTTCTTATTCAGTTTCTGAGTTGGCTGAGCTTTCCCAACTCAGGATCTACTGTATTTCGACGAAAGAAGATGGGCATTGGATGACTATTTAGATAGAAATATTATGCAAGGGAATGGGGAAGAGGCAGGAGATTGGCGCTAGGTAATATTACATGTTTGAAAAGCTCATGCAGGCATGATGGGCTGAATGGCCTCCTTCTGCACCTTAACAACTCTCTGATTCAGTGACACCCTCTTGGAACTGCTTCCAACATATTTACACCTTTCCTTCAATAAGATGATCAGTACTGTGCACAGTATTCAAGTTGTGGTCTAACCAATGCTGTATAACTGGAGCTTACACTCTCTACTTTTGTATTCAATTCCCCTCGGGATTAGCAATAACATTCGATTAGTTTTTCTAATTACTTGCCACTTCTCCATTCTAACCTTTTGTCATTTGTGCGTGAGGACACCTAGACTCTCTGCACTCTTGCTATTTAGATAATATGCTTCTTTTTGTTCTTTTCCTGTTGACATGAACAATTTCATATTTTCCCAGATTATATTTTATTTGCTAGATCTTTGGTCACTCATTTTTCCTATCTATATGCCTTTTTAGCTTCCCTATGCCCTCTTCATAATTCACCTTCCTACTTTGTATCATCACAATTTTGGTTCCTTCACTCAACTAATTTGTATAAATTGTATTATGTTAATTAATTCCAAAGACTTAGAGTCATAGAATCCCTACAGTGTGAAAGCAGGCCATTTGGCCCAACAAGTCCACATCGCCCCTCCGAAGAGCATCCCACCCAGATCCATTCCCCTACGCCTGATTTCCCATGTCTAACCCACCTAACCTAAACATCCCTGAACACTATGGGACAATTTAGCATGGCCAATCCACCTACCCTGCACATCTTTGGACTGTGGGAGGAAACTGGAGCACCCGGAGGAAACCCACGCAGACACAGGGAGAATGTGCAAACTCCACACAGACAGTCACCCGAGGCTGGAATCGAACCTGGGTCCCTGGCGCTGTGAGGTAGCAGTGCTAACCACTGAGCCACTGTGCAGCCCCTAATTTCTGTTCTATAAGGGCAATGCTCACTTTGTTAACTCTTTTCTGTTTTTAGTTATATATTTAAATGCTTACAATTTGTTATTACGTTCTTAGCTAGTTTTCTCTCATACTTTGTAGTACCACTAGACTATTAATCCAGGGACCCAGGTAATATTCTGGGGACCTGGGTTTGAATTCCACCTTGGCAGATTGGTGGAAACTGAATTCAATAAAAATCTAATTAATAGTCTCATGATGAACATGAAGCTATTGTCGATTGTTGGAAAAAAACCTACCTGATTCACTAGCATCCTTTAGGGAAGACATCCTTACCCGGTTTGGCCTGCAGCAATGTGGTTGACTCTTAATGACCCTCTGGATAGTTAGAGATGGACAATAAATGCTGGCCTAGCCAGCAATACCGACATCCTCAAAAACATTCTTTTTTCCTCCTGATTAATCTTTTGTTCATCCTTCTCCTGACCTGCCACCCATCATTGCACAATTATATGTTTTCTCTTTATTCTCTGATATTATATTTTACTTTTTTAGTTAATCTTGGATGGTGGGTCCTCCACTTGGATTCTTCCTTTCTCTTTGGGACATCCCCTTAAATGTCTGCCACTGTGTCTCTATTGACCTAACCCATAACCTAATCTTTAGTTCCTGTTAGCTAGGTCAGGTTGCCTGCTCTCATCATTATCTTTATTTAAGTTTGAAGTGTTAGCACTGGACCCACTCTTCCTTCCCCTAAACTGAATGAAAAATAATTCTTATTGTATATTGACAATTTTGTGAGAATTTCTGAGTTTAATTGTTAAAAGTAAAATTCTAAGTGTGTTTCACTTCTTATTTTTTGTTTCTCTCAGATTCTTTCACGTTCCTCCTCATTTTCACTGTTGCGGTTGGAATTCTCCTTTATTATTATTTTTTCCACGCGAATCCAAAGACTATCCCAGAAGGGGATGGCTGGTGGGGAGACAGAGAGCAACAGGATATGCAGGAGGATGAAACAGTCCACTCATTCACCATTGAAACATCTGAGGAGATGATCCAGGTAATCAGTGACCAGCTATGGCAACAGAAGCTTGAAAATCGATAACCAAATCAACACAGACTGGTAACAGATCAGTAATTAAACTGGTAATAGGAACAGTTATCAAAACAGTAAGTGGCCAGTGATAAAAGAGGTTGCTGACATCTATTAGAATCACTGATGGATCCAGCAATAGAACTATTCATTGGCCCTGGAATAGAGCCAGCAACAAAGCAGAAGAAGAAATAATTACCAAACAGTAACTCATAATTGAGCCAACAACAAAACTGCTGACAGTGCTGGAACACAACTGACAATGAATCATGTTAGAACAAGTAACAGAACTGGTAACAGTGCTTTGTGTAGGCAATATTGATGTTAATAGGCTTCAATAAAAGCTACTAGAAATAGGGCCAGGACCACATTGGTAACAGTGCTCATAATACAGCTGGGAATAGAAATGGAACTGGTCATCTTTCTCAGGTATCAGCATTCAGCTTGGATTTCAATTGAGTTGACCATGGACTGATCTTCAATGCTGAAAGTTGACGTGGTGGGTAGTACTGATGTAATTTGATCTGCCTGTGTTGGACAGGATGCTTCACTGTTGGATGTTGGTAATTTTTAGGACCTGCACTATCGCATGGACCATACTCGCTTCACGCCACCATTAGAGGACAGCAGATTTCAGTATGGTTTTAACTCCAGCTACCTGAGGAAGATCATGTCTTACTGGAGGAAGGACTACAATTGGAAGAAGCAGCTGGAACTTCTAAACCAGTTTCCACATTTCAGAACCAGGATTGAAGGTGTGTTTTAGGCACACGCTGTGGTGGAGCAGGAATTGTGGTGGGCGATTCCTGACATGGGGGACAGTCTGCTGAGAGACCAGCTTCACTAATTGTGTCCCATTTCGAAAAACCAAACAAATCCCATAATAATAATCCAACAGGAAGCTGTATGTGTTGACCTTTAACTTCCCTTTGCCTTGGTTTTCCAGGAATTGATATCCACTTTGTTCATGTGAAGCCTCCTCACCTGCCTCAAGGTCAGACTGCCATCCCGCTGATGATGATCCATGGCTGGCCAGGATCTTTTTATGAATTCTACAAGATCATCCCTCAGCTGACTGATCCAGTCAGTCATGGCCTGAGTCAGCAGGAAACCTTTGAAGTCATCTGTCCATCCATCCCAGGCTATGGCTTCTCAGAGGCACCACGCAAGAAAGGTGAGTCTCCTTCTGGGTCTACTCCCTGAGGAGTAAAATGTTGTGGTACCTACCTGGTCCCCTCACTAAAATCATTGACATAAATTGTAAACCACTGAGACCCCTGCAGGAGCCTACTCACCACAGGTTGCCAATCAGATTTAGGAGCTCCTGATCATTTTCACCAAGAAGGTCCAAGTGTTTCTCGCTCGAAAAACCCACAGTCTCCTCATAGGTACAGTGTGGAATGGATTTCAGGGCAGTATCCGAACGAACCCAACTCCCCCAGTCCAGCCAAACTCCCCCAATCCAGCCAAACTCCCTAATCTAACCAAACCACCTAATCTAACCAAACTCCCCTAATCCAGCCAAACTACCTAATCTAACCAAACTACCTAATCTAACCAAACTACCCCAATCCAGCCAAACTACCTAATCTAACCAAACTACCC